CAGAGTCCCCATTTGACTCAAGAAGTACCGTTGCATCCACCCAAAACCATTGTATGGTGTGGGGTCAACTCTACAAGATGTCACTGTTCCACTCTTTTCTGAGAACAACGCAGGCCAAAAGTGAGTAAAATGGTTTCGATATTTCCCGATGCTGGGAATTTCGTGATGAAAATAAAATAATACTAGTATCGCCCAGTTGTCGAAATTCGAGTTCTTTTTTTATTCACTTTTGAATTTCACTTGTCACCAATATCCTTTATGCGAATGACGATTTTGTAGTCCACCACCAAAATCTAAAGCGAATTTACAGGAAAACTTAACACCAAATTTCTTCTGTAGCTTTCGAAATTATACCGAGAAAGGAACCTCAATTTTGATTTATAAAAATATGTAATATGTGTATAGATGAGATTCTTAACGGTTCCTCACTGACTACTATGTGAAATATATACCAGTTCAGCATGTAAATATCGAGGGCTTATATTCAATATCCTGTATCTGCATTTTTCACAAAAATGAGATTCTGATATAAAAATCCACCTAAGACTTAAATGTCATCGGTGATGTTAATGCTGACCTTGTATAACGCTTGACAGAAGAATTTATTTTAAATTGCAAAGTCAGAATTAACATCTGTGATGACAGGTAAGTCCCAGTTGGGTTTTAACCTCACAAAGTTGTTTCTGTGAAAATTGCAGATAGAGGGTATTGAATATAAGCCCTCGATATGTTTTTCGATTATATTGGTCTGAGTGCCCTTTGGAAGGTTAAAAACTAAATTGCTAGATCAACATAAATTCATATTTCTTTTCAGTATAATCGGTGGTGTAAAACAAAATATAATCAGGGTATTCATCTAAACGAGTAAATGCCTCGTAACTGTATAAACCTCGTATCTAAACCGGGTTTCTTTACAAAATTAAGTAAGTTTACGAGGTTTACGTGGTTACGTGGCATTTACGCGTTTATATGAATTGCCCTAATATTTCTTTCTCTAACGGCGGTTTTACCCGGGGGTTTGTCACGAATTGGCCTAAAGCCCAATATTTTTGCACCACACGATTGGGCTGCCAAGTTACACCAAATGTTGCTTTTATATGTTCTAAATATGAAGCAAATCTGACCATAAATAGGATTTTTAAGGATAGCTCTCAACCCCTGCGCCACCTAACGGAAGACAAAAATACTGCTCTTTTTTAAAATCATTGCACAAAATAACAATCATTCAATGCGATTTAGAAACCTGGTAGAAAATGGTTACCAATTGAATGATTCTTATCATTTTATATGTATATAGATGTAGGTGTGTCAAATTCCATTACCTTATCATAAGTGGTTCCAGATATAAGCGATATGGAAATTTAATTTTGTATGGGAGGTGCCTCATCCCCCTTTCGAATACACATCACTTCTCGCCATAAGTTCGGTAATGATAACATATTCAGCTGTATCAAATTTAGGACATTAAGTAGTTTAAGAGATAAGCGATTTGAGAATTTCAGTTTATATGGGAGGTGCCACACCCCCTTTTCCATTACCTACCACTTCTCGCCGGCAACAATAAAAAAAAAATATTTTGAAAATAAAGCGTTTCTAAGTCTCTTCCGTCTGATGACCGCCTTTTTTTGAAACATAATTGTTTGAAAAATATAATTCACAATAAAGGCATATCTCTAAATTGGAATACGTGTTCAAAAAAAAGTCTAGATGGCAAAAATATTCGGCTTCGGCAAAAATTTCGGTTGGGGTTTACCGAAACCAAGCATTCAGCCGAATTGAAAATATTTCCTATAAATCGGCAAGCAGAAGCCGAAACCGAACGTTCAGTCGAACTCTACTCCAAACGGATAGTCATTATTCTGTTATTGCTCGACCTTGGTATTATTCCGCACTTTTTTTACTGGGATATTTTATTTAACTTATAAATTGAATTGAAGTTTACTTTTTAAGCCGGTGGTAAATATCTTCAAAAGCCTTTCTTCTTTATGATTGATATATGATTTTCTATTTAACATTCATATATTGCGATTTGCAATATTTTAATTTATTAATTTAAAGGAATTCAAATTTTTGGGTCGATGGCAATCCTCGTTTTTTACGCAAGGTTTTCCTTCGTTTGATACCCATATATTGAAGTTATTAATTAAACTACATCGCCCTCACCCGCTTCGCTGAGTGTATGAAATTTATGCGTGTTATTATAGGTGTAATTTATTTCAATAAAACTGAACATACTTAAAATTTTTTTAATCATCTTCAAAATATTTTCAAACTAAAATTTTTTTAAACCTCTCTCTTGTAATGCTTTTCAATTAACTAATTCCCTGAAATCAATTTGAGATTTTAAACGGATGGCAACCCCCTTAAATGTAATTTTGAAATGAGTCCCTTTTAAAACCATTTCCATTGATACTCATATTTTAAAAATTCATTGAAATTATGGAATACATTACATTGTTGGAATTTAACTTTTTAAAAAATTGGCAACCTCTCTCGTCTGTCAATCATATTGCGCTACATGTATATGTATTTAAATTACCTAATTCCCATAATTTAAGTTGAAGGTCGTACCTATGTATATTTTAATAACTCATTTAACCTATAAAAGAATTGTATTTGGCTTTGAAAATTTGTTCAAATAGGTGGCAACTCTGATACATATAGATGAGAAGATAGGCCTTTTCAAAACCATTTCGATTCATACCCTTATTGTAATAATTAATTTATTTTAATCGAGTTTAATTTTTAACAATGGTTGCCGTTAAGGGCCTCAATAATGTTCAAAATTTTCACACTAAAGGTTTCTTAAAAAAATTCGGTTGACACCTTATTTTTTGTTTTTCAGACAGTTTGCGAATAATTAATTTAAATTTCACTTTTCAAACAGGTGGCAACCCTTTTAAAAATATTTTCAAACTAAAAATAATTACCTTAATTTAAGTTGAATTTGTTTTTTCTTTTTTAACAGGTGGCAGCACTCCTCGAGCATGGAATTGATTTTATATATCTCCATACCAAGTTTCAGTATTCTATCACAAATATTTCCTGAGATATGCAGTATGAAAAATTCTGTTTGTTTGGCTAAATGACACCAGTGTAAAAAATTTCATGATGATGATGTGAAGGCGTAACAAACAAACAAACAAACTCACTTTCGGATTTATAATAGTAGTGGGGATAGTAAGGACTTAACTAGCCAAAGATATTTTTGAAATAAAATTTGTTAGACCTCTTTTGCTTGTAAGTTGAATTTAAGTTATTAATAAAATTAAATTACATAATTTAAACATATGGCAACCCTTTAAATATTTTAAGATGTAGGGCTTTCCAAATTCCTTCCCTTCTAATATCTATCCATAAATTTTTATGTTTAATTTCACTTATTTAAATCGCATTTAACCATTTAAAAAGGTGGCAACTCTTAAAAAGTATTTAAGAAAAAACGCATTTTTAAAACAAGTAAATTAATTAATTATTAATTAATTAATTATGAATGCATTTTATTAGAATTGTACAATGTTGACAGTTTGTTCTTCTTTTTAAATTAGATAATCGATGTATTCGCAAACTTGTCGTGCACTCCTTCGATGAGCAACACTACAACGGTGTAGTGATTCGTTTAAAACATCTTCGCCAACCACAATCTACTACATATGAACACAAAAGCAGGTATCAAAAGTTTTATGCTAGCCGCACTGAAACTGAAAACTCCACCAGAGACGTTCAATGCTGCCGTGCCATTTAATGCAGCCGTAGCAAAACCAACCCTATTATTGCCCATATCGAAGACTGTGTAATATTGACCAATGAAGACGTCACCCAAAATCCAAAAATTCGTATCGGCTTCCTCAAAAGCAGACATACACACTATATCGCCATTTTCATCTTCAGTTTCAATTATATACTGAGAACTAGTGAGGTTGAAGGTGGTGCCACCTATGGTGAATGAAATGATCGGCAAACTTGACAATGCAGCACACTCCACAAGGTATTCTCCCTCGCTGTAGACAGCACCAATTGCATTCTGTATATTCTCCAAGAGGCTGCTTGGCACAGCTAACAAACTCTTTCCGGTATCGGCTATAGCAGAGCAATCGAGACAAGCATTAGTACCATCAATGCTGACCGAGTCCATATTGAATTGCCAATAGCCTTCGATTGTAACGGGCACGTAGGTCAACTCGCCACTGTAGTGATTTGTATCGATGCCACCGAGCGTAAGTTCACCACCTTGCAAGGATGTGCCATTGCGTGTCAAATAGAAAGCGAATACGGGCGAGTCAATTAAACCTTGTGAGTATAAATCATAGAAGGGTGGCAACACATTGTCAGCAGCAATCGTTTGATAGCCCATGCCAAGTATGCCATCGAATTCCGAATCGACGAATGTGTTACCAGGCTCGGATGTTGCAACTGCGAGGGTTTGTCCCGTTATAGCGAAATCGCTAATTGACACAGTATCGGCCACCAAGTAAC